ACTTGGTTTGAGCTAGCATAAGGTGACCAGATGTTAACATTGGTAAAGCGGAACACCATTGATAAAACTCATCTCCTGGGGAAATAGCCACATGGCAGCCGAAAACCGTATACCCTAGCTTGTCGTGCATTCTTTCCAAAAATCAGGACTTTTTTCAAATGCCGTGGGACGTGGGAAAAATTGTTAAAAATCGGGACTGTCCCGCCAAAAGCGGGATGTCTGGTCACCTTAAGCTAGCAGCAGCCAGCACATGCTCACCGAGCTTGAGAGAGAAGCAGTGCATCGGCGCCTGGAGTGGTGGCTGGGCAGAGGCCACGCACGGTCTCAACCCCGGCCGGCTAAATGACTGATGTTTAGCCGCCTCCCCAGAGGGCAGACTTGAATGGGGCACAGGCATCATTTCTTAGGACTCTTTCCAGGTGACCCAAAGGTGCAGCCAGGATGGAGAGGTGGAATAACCAAGGACCAAGTGGGTATTCTCTGTGGAGGGGGTGCAATACGCCAAGGCATGGGCACAGATATACACTTGACAGGAGCTGAAAGTAATGACTGGAATGTTAGAAAAAGATTAGTGTAGATGTACTTTTATGCCACACACAAAAAAGTTTGGATTTTAAGAAATAAACAGGACCCTGAAACACCAAGGTAAGGCAACAAGCGTTGCCACTTGGGTCCCAGTGCGCGCACGCATGGGCTTCTCCCAAACACCTGCTTACCCATGCCTCTGCTGCAGGCCGTTCTCGCAGGAACATACTTGTCTTCAGTTCCTAAGGATGCCTCTGGAAAAATGACCCGGTCCAGTCCAAGCTGTGGCTGCTGGAGCAGTTCCAGGGAAGGCAGGGAGGCCCGCCAGAAGGTTGTAGTGACTTTCTTTGGGGACATCCAAAGGACCGTCTTGATGGGTTTTCTCAAAGGGTCCCGGATAATCATGGGGCTTTGGGAGGAAGAGCTTTGAAGAAAATGGGAAACTGTGTTGGCGAGAAAGGGGCTGAGAAAGTTGCCGAAACTCTGTTCTGTCACAAAACAAAGCCCCTGCTCCTTGTTCAAGGATGAGGAGGACTGTCCTAGGACATTTAATTGGGGAGCCTGACCCCGTTTATCCACCAGCTCTGGTCTTATCCCTCCAGGCGGCCTTCTGTTCCCCAGACTCACACAACAGTGAAAAGAAACACAGTGTGAGTCCCCTGAGGTGCCAAAGTCGCTCTTAGAATGTGGGATACCTCAAAAAACAGAACTCTGCAGAGAAGGGCTGGAGACACAGACGTACCACCTGCAGACGTATGCAGACCCCGATGGGGGATTGTCTCGAAGCGATTGCTTCACATTTTGAGAGCTTCGTTTGAGAAAGGCTTGGCTAGTGACGGTTTTTGACTCGCTCTGATAGAATTGAGTTGGGGGAGAAGTGATCAGAATACCTTGGCAGGAATCAATCCAGGTCCAGGACCCATTGGAGGGAAGACATTAAAGAACATTGACCATGAGGCAGCCACGACAACCACCCAGGTTGGAAACGAGCTAACAGTGGAAGAGAAGAGTCAGCTTGTTGAGTACTGCAGAAGTCAGTGTGATTAGAGGAAGCCTGATGGGTTTTCTCAAAGGGTCCCGGAGAATCATGGGGCTATAGGAGGAAGAGCTTTGAAGAAAATGGAAAACTGTGTTGGCGAGAAAGGGGCTGGGAAAGTTGCCGAAACTCTGTTCTGTCACAAAACAAAGCCCCTGCCCCTTGTTTGAAATGCTGTTCTGGCACTGTGGGTTAGGCATCAAACTGCTAATTACAAGGTTGGAGGTTCAAACCCACTCGCTGCTCCTAGGGAGAAAGATGAAGCTGGCTGATTCTGCCAAGATCTATAGTCTCAGAAACCTTATGTAGGCCCTTGTCTAAGAGTTGGAATTGACTCAGTGATGCTGGGTTTGGGTCTTTTCTTTAAGCATACCTAGAAGCATGGCTGGTCAACAAGGTGGTGCAATGGTTAAACACTTGCCTGCTATCTGCAAGGTTGGCAGTTCAACCCCAACCAGTAGCTAGAGGGAGAAGAAACCTGGCTATCTGTTCCCAGAAGGATTCTAGCTTAGGAACACGTGGGGTGGGAGTGGGAGGATTGCTATTGGATGCTGTCATGTGGGGTCGGTTTGAGCAGGAGCTGACTCAGGAGTACCTAAACTCAACAAGCACGGCTAGGACTTGGCCTTGAACACAGCGTGGAACCTGGGAGAGGAAGAAGCAGCGCTGTGAACAGGGCAGGCTGGCCTGTAAGCGCCACGAGGCAGGGCCCTGTCTGGGCCATCGCGGTGTCCTTGACCTTGAGCAAAGTGCCTGGGACACAGTAGACGACAGATAAAGATTTGCTCATCCAGTTACTAAAAGGACAGTAGCGCCGTTCCTTCCCAAACTACACTCTCCTCTTGAGAAAGCCTCCCCTTTCCCCACCAGCTTCCCCACTGACAAGCAGCCAGATCCCAGCCCTACGGAGAGCAAGTCGGGTTCGATCACACGCGACAAGAGAGAAAGGAGTGTTAGGACTGGAAGTGTTTACCTTTAAAAAGAAGGATTGGTTGGAAATTTTTTTAAAAAAACCTCTCCTTTGGGAGAAAGTTGGGGTGGGGGTTATCCATTTGAGAGGGCGCTCGTTATTTCACTCCGATACCCTAATCCTGAGCAGATAGGCGCAGAGGGCTTCAGCTTGGCAGTCTGCTCCTGAAAGACTGCCAGTCCCTGGCCTAGCAGTTCTGTTGACACTCCTGGAAGCTAAGCTCTTATGGACAGGAGTACCTACAACTGGTCCCAGGGATGGTCCAGCTCCCAACAAGTAAAGCAGCGTTCTCCTGGGCAGTGCTGTGAGCTGGGTCATGGCTGGGCTGGGAGATAAGGGCCCACGTGGATGCAGAAGCTCAGCTGGAAGCAATGGGGCATAATGGGAGGCAGTTGGGATCCAACCCCAGCTGACAGATTTGCATACCACACCCCTCCTAAGGGGTGCCAGGGTCCCAACCTGAGTCGTGGTGGGCAAAGCAGAGTTGAGCAAGAACATGTGAAGGGAGGGAAGTGACTTGTGCGTGCCAACGTTACAGACAGCCGATTCTGGGTGTCCTCACCATGCATAGCTGTTCTTCTCCAGCCTGGATCAAGAACACTCCCACCAAACAAGCCCATCAAGGACGTCATGAAGCTCCATCAACACTTGCATTGCCCGTAAGCCAGTGACCACCAAGCCAGTTTGACTCATGACACCTCCATGTGTGTCAGGGTAGAACTGTGTATCCACGGGGGTTTTCAGTGACTGGCTTCGCCGAGGGAGTTCTCTGAGGCACCTCTGGGTGGACTGGAACCGCACGCCTTTCAGTTAGCAGGGACATGCTCTTCCAACCACCTGGGAATCAAGCTTGTTGTATATTGCTAGACCTGTCAGGGAGGCAACAGGAGAGATGGAGAGAGCATCACCTTTGGGTAACGCAGGATCAGAGCTGTGCCATTGTCAGCTGAGGGACCCTGGGAAAGCCTGTCCAGCTGCACTGTGCCCTGCCCTCCGCTGGACCCGAGGAGACAGGAGACTCAGCTGCTCAGAGCCCGCTTGGCCCTGCCTGCATGTTCCAGGGTCTAGCCCACCTAGAGACCCCCCTGGGGAGGCAGTGGCTTCTCCTTGAAGGGCTTCGGAGAAGAAGGAAGAGTGAGCATACTGGGCAAGGGAGTGGGAGGCTGCAGACCTCCAGGGCTAGGCTCACTCAGGCTGGCACAGTGTAGGCTCCTGGCCCTGGGAAATGACTGCCTGGACAGCAGAGACGTTGCCTTCCGGTGGGCAGTTCGCTCTGCCAGGAGGGGCATGGAATGCTTCCTCCCGTCAACAACAGCTGTCCTCCCCTAGTTGGCCCTGGTGTGTTGCCTTCCTCTACTCTGTGGGGCATGGATGTGGCTAGGTCACCCACGGTCAAGGTTGAGGCCCCAGGGGCAACAGAGGGGCCACAGGTCCAGTTCGGGCTGCATGGCAGGGTGGTGGCATGGGGACTTGATGTTTCCTCTGGGCAGTCACCACCCGTGGCCCTCCCTTGCTGTGCCTGCACTCAGCCAGCCTCTGCCTGGTCTCCCACGTGTCCTTGGGCACTTCCTTGTCTTCGCTCTCCCTTCCTCTGGGCCTGCACTTCCCTCCTGCTGCCTGCCACCTTCCTCTCCATCTCTGTCTTGCTGCTCAGTGGCGTGGTGGGGACCTAGGAGGCTGCCACCTGTCTCCAGCTGTCCTGGTCCGGCATGCTTTCCCTAGGCCACCTGCCTGAAGCCCTGGTGGATGTGGGCTGTTTCACTTGGGCTCAAAGAGGGCAGTGGTGCAGGGGAGCCTCCCACAGCCTAGCGGGCAACTAAAAGAGGAAGGAAGTCAAGTGTGGGGAGCTGCCTGGGGCCCTGTCCCCTGGTCCATATCACCCTGTTGCCCTCTTTCCCATCTCCCAGAAGGTAGAACACGGAGGAGAGGAGGCCTCTGAAGAACGAGGTGGACGTGATCATGGCATTGCTAATACCAGCCTTAGAAGCTTGCAGAGTAGTGACTGTTTGCCAGCGCTGCACTTCCCTCTTGGCACGCGTTCTCTCTCCAGCGCAGATGGCAGGGGAGCTTGGGCTGGTTTACAAGGCGGGGATTGTCGGCTCCCAGTCAGACTGCAGGAAGGACCGGGCACGGTGGCCTGGGGAACGCTGCCAGCTCACTCTCCCTTCTGCTACCCCTGCTTCTCCGCCTGCTGCCGCTGACTCTGACCCCCACAGCTCTCCCGAAACATTCTTTCCAATGTGTTTTTGCTGGCAGCTGCTTTCTCCTCCCCTGCCAGAAGGCTGGCAGCTCATACGCTCCTTTTAGTGACAGGGCAGGGGCTGGGATTGGCTGCCCCAGGAAGCCACCGTGGTTGGAGCGTAAGAGGAACAGGCCCCCTCTGAGGAGAAGGTGGAGGGCTGGGGGCAGATGACACCGTAAGTGCCCACCCCACCATGGCTATCTCATCTCACCCTCTCCACTTCCCAGAAGGTGGAAGATGAGGAGGAAGAGGAGGAGGATGCCGGAGAAGGCGGTGGGAAATGGTGATGGTATAATCAGTATCATCCTCCACAGCTGCAGAAGAAAGGACTCAGAGGCTGGGTAACCTGTTCGGGGCCACAGAGCCACCTCGCGAAGCAGGCAGGCAGGTGGCAGAGGGGCTGAGAGCAGGAACCACGCACCGTGGAATCCAGACCCTGCTGCATTCTAGCTGGGGCCAGGGGCGTGCTACTTAACCTTTCCGGCCTCCGTTGGTCTTATCTGTGCAGTGGGAGCAGTCCTTTGAACAGCCATGTGCCCCGGTGCCTGTGAGGCTGGAGTGCACCGTTGGGAAGGGCACCTGGCTTGGCGTGAGCGCCCAGTGAACGCAGATGTTGGCTTTGTAGTGCCCTGCTGCTCACTGAGAGCCCCCGCCTGTATGATCTCACTGGGCCTTTATGAAACCCTTGGAGGGTGGACCAGGGAGTGGACTGGCTGGTTGCTACCTGCCCTACCCCGTGCTCTCACCCCAGACCTCATCAGGTGCAGGATCCTAGACTCTGTTACCAGCAAGTCCTCACCGTCTCACTGCCACAATCAGTGCTGACTCATAGTGGCCCCCTGTGGGTTTCCGAGACTCTTAACTGTTTACAGGAGTAGAAAGCCTGGTCTTTCTCCCTCGGAGTAGCTGATGGTTTCAAACTGCCGACCATGCAGATCGCAGCCCAATGCTTAACCACGACACCACCAGGCTTCTTACCAAACTGAATAACCCAACTCACTGCCATCGAGTCCATGCGAACTCCTAGTGACCCCGTAGGACAGGGTAGAAACTGCCCCTGTGGGTTTCCGCTGAGACTGTAACTCTTTATAGGAGTAGAAAGCCTAGGAGTTGCTGGAGGTTTTGAACTGCTGGCCTTGCGACCCGCTGTCCCCTCATCCCAGCCCCTGTCCTCTGCCTGGGCTCTGTGTACCCCAAGATGTTGCTCAGCTTTCCCTGCTCACTCTGCATGGAGCTGCTCCCCACCAATCCTGCCTGCCCACCTCCCGTTTCCAGCGGTCCCAGCGCCCAGGGGAGCAGGCGGGGGTTCAGATCCCCATTGTGCACCTGACTCATAGGTTCTGAAGCAATACCACGTCTCTGAGCCTCAGTCTTCTGACATAAGACGCAAGCACTTACGATGATCCGAGCCATTCTCCCACTCCGACAGCCTCTGCTTCCGTCTCCCTCTGCTGAGCCGCACGCTCTGCCGAGCCCTTATTTAGACGCAGCCGGGTCCTTTTTGAATAACGTGCTTTGCTCAAAGATTTGAACGGGTCACAGTTCATCAGGGCCTCTGGCAGACAGTGATAGCCCAGGGTAACCACTCAGCTGAGCACCGGACCAAGGCCTTCTCTGGCCCCATCGGGGGGCCCTTGTGGTTTGTCCCTCTGCCAAGCGGCCATCATCCTGAGTCCTCCTCCTGTACCCAGGACCCCATGATGATCACTCTGGGCCTGTTTTGAGGAAGGGGCTGGGAGGGGGGAGCAGGGGGCAGCCGTGGAGACTTTGAGAGACGGGTGGGCTGGAGGGCTCAGGGGGAGGTCATGAAGCCTCACTGTGATTTGGAGCCTGTGCATTTTCAAGGGAGGTGGTTTGCAGGGTATTTCCACAGCAGACCCAGGGGTGCTGATCTGCCTCACGACTGTGTGGAATTAAAACCAAAACCAAAATGTAGCATGTTGCTCCGTCATCATGGAGGGACCTCTCTCGGAGCAGCTTTTGCCCAGCAATTAAGCGAAATTACGTGACTCAGGAGGGAAAGATAATAGGCGGAGGAAAAGCTTTCTGGTTGCTCACATACAGCGTCCCCCACCCCTACAGAAAGCAGCTGCTCCAATGGCAGGGATCAGAGAGAACAATTTAACCCGGAGATGCCGCCGCCATGACAGTACCAGCTGCTTGCCAACACAGGGGTGAATGAGAGGGGCAGAGAGACGGGTGGACACCTGAAAAATGGCTTCTCTCTCCTGATGTTGTTCTTGGGTGCTGTATGTCACCACCCATACACCCCACGCATAAGGGAATGAACCCCCCTGCGTCCTCCCCCCTCCTCACAGTCATCTCTCTGTCCGAGCCCTGGTTGAAGCCACCGTGTCAGTCCATTCTATGGAGGGTCTTGCTTTTACGCTGCCCCTCCACTTGACCAAGCACGATGGCCTTCTCCAGGGCCTGGTCACTCCTGACAGCATGCTCGAAGTCTGTAAGACAAAGCCTCGCCATCCTTGCCTCTGAGGAGCACGCTGGCTGTCCTGCTTCCAAGACAGCTTTTCTTTGTCCTTTCGGCAGTCCCTGGCGCTTTGGGCACTCTCAGCCAGCACCACCGTTCACAGGCATCGACTCCTTTGGTCCTCTTCAGGCGATGGCCAGCTTTCTTTCTTTTTTTTTTTTTTTAATTTTATGTTTTTATTTTTTTTTTTAACATTTTATTAGGGGCT